TATTCCATGCCTCAAACATCTCCCTGTACGTTCCATCTATTTTTCCTAGCTCAGTCACGTAAACTTCCATCTCCTTCTTGTACAACGGACATTCCGCGACTACATGAACACGGTCTTCGCATTCGAAGCCGCAATCACATTTGAACTCGTCGTCTTCCTCGTCTACCGTCCTATGTCTTCGTCGACGTTCTCGAAGGCCTATGTCCCCGGTCCTGAATTTGACCTTAAGCTTTGTTCCTGCATCCATTGGTCCATGTAGGTAGTCCTTGAACCCTATTCCTTCCTTCAACATTCCGTACACTTCTAGACCCTCCTTATCCTTGGATTCTTTCCTCAGATTCTGTTCTTCTCTCTCGGCACAAGCAACAGATATCTTCTCCTTGAACCCCTGTAGACCCTCCGTTTCCAGCGTTTCATCTTCGTCGATGTCGAGCCCCTTCCATACGTCCTCTACAACCTTGACCCATTCCGTGGGTTGTCTACCCCTCTTTTTGTTTGCCCACTTCGCCTCCCATACAATCCTCGGCAACCTCTCCTCTCCCATCCCGCACATGCGATACTGCCAGGTCAGCTTCCTCGCGTCTCTTCCCGACCGTAGGGATTGGATCCCCAATTCTGCCCTCACGGCTGCATTACTTGTGCGCCTGGAGCATCCTAGGATGGTTTTCGCTGCTTTCATCTGCGCCGCCTCGAGTTCTTTCACTACCTTCTTATTTCCTTCCCATACTTCTCCGGCGTACTCTAGCGGCGGTACGATTACGCTCTTCAAAACCGTCAATTTGATGCGTGTATCGAGGGCCGGTTTGCGAGTATTGGGTGCCACCGGGGGGGCGGCTTGTTTTACAACGTCGTGCCAAGCGACGAAAACCCAACCCCGATGGCAAACATTGGGGGCGGGGGAGGGGGATAGAAAAGGGCGAGGGAGACAAGCACATGCTGTGAGACACGCTACAAGTCCTGAGCTGTGTCCTGTAGCTTGCGCAAAATGGGCCCGACAGGAACACAGGATCGGACACGTTCTGCTGTGGGGGCGACAAAAAATTGGCAGAGGGCCTTTTTTTTCGTGGCGAAGAGGAGGTGAAACCGACATCGGTGTGTTGTGCGGCGAGCAGTGCATAACATGCCGCAGGGCAGGAGTTTGCTTACGACCAACAGCACCCACACAGCAAAACTTCGTGCGAGCAGCAGTGTACAACATGCCAAAGAGCGGCAGGGGTTCCCCAATGAAAAAGCAGCACTGCTGATGTATCGCACCACGCGTTAAATATAGTGCCGCTTCAAAAGGATTGTTGGAGGTTGATGGATCCATAAGGGGTTGGAGAAACGCCGCATTCACGTACTCTTTGAGGTAGAGTTGGGTGGGCCCTAGCAACCTCTTGAACCTGTGCAACGTTCAGAGTTACCCGCTTACGGAACCAGCATCACTGCTGTAATGCACCACGCTTTAATTTTGCTTCAAGGTTTGTCGGGGAGGGCTACGCAGGACACAACGCGCAGTACAACTTGGTACGGTTCGAAGTATTCTGGACCAGCTTTGTAACCGTACTCGCACGCTGACACCGTTAGGCGCCTAGCAGACAGACCATGGGTCACTCCCATGGCGTTCAGAGTACACCCGCTGGATCTTGAACGTGCGGACTCTCGTCTACAATTTAAGGGTTTCTCACCAGGCGACGTCATGCACCACCGCCTGCACCACATCACACATGCCGATCGCGGAGCACGCGAACTGCCTCATGGGGGGATGATTTCCTGTCGTCCCCTCCCCCCCGTGTTCGCCTCCGAGGGCGGAAACCTTCCAGATGCACACCGTTCCTGTGCGAGGGGGATGGGTGGGCGGGGGCGACAGAAAACGGGTTGTCGTACTTGCCGCTGTTGTCATTGTCGCCCTCGTTGCACGATCGTCCACAAAAACTTGGGGCGGAAGGGGACACGTTCAAACATCCCCAAGCCTAGTCGTCGACATGGCAGAGGGTTTTGTTCAGGGAGAAACACCCACCGATTTCATCTTCCGGCTGTACCGGGTTAGGGTCTTAGAGCAATTTAACTGTATTTTGTGGCGGGGTCCAAGCACCGCCCTCTTTCCGCTGTTGCCCGCTGCCACACCCCAGGAGGGCTCGAGCGCTGGGAAGCGTGCTTTGCTACTCAAACGAGTTTTTTTTTTAGTCTTCACTTCAAATCAGTGCTCACAGCACTTGTGCCCTCAATCCGTGGACGCACACAGAGGGGTTCCTCTCCCCTGAGACCCCCTGCCTACCCTTACGTGCGGTGTTTTTTTCTTTCAATTTTTAATGCGAGAAGAGTGCAGCTGAAAAGTATCATTACAACTGGAGTACCATGTAAGTCGAATTGTGGCCGTTAATTTATCTGGCGTCTCCCCGGGACGAAACATTGCCGGGAAAATCCTCCTCGATACTGAACAGGAGCCCGAAGAGAGCACGTCAAAAACAAACAACCATGACAATGCCGTCAGAAGCCCCCACCACCGTCTGGTGTGGTACCTAGTGTCTCCCTACGGTACACGTGGTACATTCCAGCCTAAATAAACGTACCTTTGGCAGCCCCCAGCGGCAGGAGGTCGGGCCCTTGGGGTGTAGTATCTGGTGTCACCTACGGTACACACGGTACATTCCAGCCAAAATAACCGTCCGTCGGAAGCCCCCAGCGGCAGGAGGTCGAGCTCCGGGGGGTAAGCATCTGGTGTAACCTACGGCATGCATGGTACGTTAAAGGAAAAAAAAACGTACCGTCGGAAGCCCCTGCCAGCAGGAGGTCTGGCTCCTGGGGGCTCCAGTCCAGGCACATAACCTCCGCGTGCTTCAGCCGCGCGTGCAGGATGGGCTTCGTCTTGAGCACCACTGCGCCGTGCCCCCCCCCCGCTCCCGCCCCGCCGGCCGCGGGTGTAGATCCAGGCGGCGCGCTAGCACCGGGGGTGGTGTTGGAGAGAGACGAGGCTGCTTCCGCCGTGACGCCATCGGGGTCCGGGCACACGTAGACTCTGGCGACAGGGCAGGGGGGTCATGTAAACGCACGCCGCAGTAGCTAAACCATAGACCTCGCATCCCTACAATGCTACCGGAACGGGGCAACATGCCGTCCTAGGCCAAGTCTCACAAGAATAGAACGCTGGGGGGGGCGGGGGCGGGGGCGGGGTTCATTTCGACAGGCGCAAAGGAAATGAGAGACGGTTGCAGTTCTACAAGCTTCAGCGCAAGCGTCTGTTGATTGATTCAGGGGGGAATCGACCCAATTATGTTGTGATTGAGGGCGGGACACTGCTGGCTTGTCATTGGGAACAACAAGAACAACAAGAACAACAAGAACGATAACAACAACAACAACAACAACAACAACAACAACAACAACAACAAGGACAACAGCAACAACAGCAACATTGTCATTCCTCCTGCTCACCGAAGTGAACCGTCCTGAAACACCGCCGCGAGGAGACCAAGCGCCCCCCCCTCCCCTTCCCCCCCCGCGCCTCCATCGGGCCCCCACTTGCACTTCACCACGCCGCCCCCGTCGTGGGCGATGCCGTACGCCAGCTCGAACATGCTGCCGCCGCCGACAATGGCTTCCTCGGCCTTCCTCCTCGCCGCCCTTGCCGCCGCCCTTGCCTTCTTCGCCGCCGCCTCCGCCGCCTCCGCCGCCTCCGCCGCCGCCCTCTCCTCCTTCTTCCTCTTCGCTTCTGCGGCGGCGGCTTTTGCCTTGGACGCCTCCTCAAGTTTCTCCGCGGCCGCGGCCTTGGCCTTGGCTACTGCCATAACTTCCGCCGCTCCTTTTGTCGGACGCCCGAGCTTTTTGACAGGGATGTTGTTTGTCTTGGCCGCGGGGTCTTTGGCTGCTGCTGTGGCCTTGGCTTTGGGGGTCGTCTTGGGGGTTTCGTTGGGGGCTGTTTTGGGGGTGGGAGTTTTAGCGGTGCGGAGCTTGGGAGGCCGTGATGGGGTCAGCACGGAACACACGTCTTTTGCACGCCAGATCTGTCGTGTGCGTGGGGGACAGAGAGAGAGAGACAGACAGACAGATTACACATGGATAGAGAGAGAAGCAGGAAGGTAGAGAGAGAGAGAGAGAGAGAGAGAGACAGAGACAGAGAAAGAGACAGGCAGACAGAGACGGAGAGAAAGAGGTACAGACAGATAAGACAGCGAGGAAGATGGGCCGACACTGATACATAAAGAAACACAGAAAAGCGAGGCGTACTCGAGTCGTCCTTTCGCAACACCCCGTTCCCGCCAATCAAATCAAAACGCCAACGCCTGTGACGTCATCATCATCACGCACAACCTCCTCCCTTGCACCACCCGGGAAAAGAATAAACTGGAGACGAAAACACAATAAAACAAAAGTGGAAAACCTATCGAGCAACGTGAAAGGATAGAGACAAACTGCGAGCGACGGGTGAACAGGAAAACGGTGTATTAATAGTACGCAGACAACATTACCTGCAGGAGGGCCGGTCCCGTGGTGCGCTTGCCGATGAGGGGGAGGGGGCAAGGTTGACCATGAATGTACGGCACCCCCGAAGAAAACACGTCCGCCTATGAAGAGGCGTAGGAACACCCGAGGGGGAACGTGGCGGTGGAAGACAGGACGCAACACGGGAGGGTGGGTCCAGAGGTGGGTCTGGCTTGTTGTGCGTTCGGAGGACAACCAAACAGGATGTAAAGTTTGTGTTTGTGGAGGATATCCAAAACACGAAGACGTTGTGTGTGTTTGGAGGACAATCGAAACAGGGAGGAGGATGCAAAGAAAGCCAACACCCCAGTGGACGTTTCGGCCCTCGGAAACATGCTAGAAAGTAATAGCGAAGGTAAATATTTACGGTCGGTTGACGTACCATGTTCTGTGAATTACCACACGCGCTATTCTCAGGCAGTTTCTTTTCGCGCCAATACCTGTTAACCTTAACCCAGAAGTACCGTCCAGGTCATTGCACTCAAAACACCAATCCATCTCCATTTGACGATACTACCGAGTCCACTCCAGAGCACCCCCCCCCCCCGTTGTCACGCCAACGTCTCTCGTGACCCCCCCCTCCCCCCCGCCCTAGACCCACCTCTTCGATGGGATGGTCAGTCTGACGCAAAGGTCCCGTCCCAACGGCCAAGAACAAGTCCAGACCGGCACTAGTTCCGCCACCGCCACCTTGACGCAACAGAGTGTCGACGTCCCACACGCTGCCTGCCGCGTTGAGAACAGCCTCTGGCGGCCGCTCCTCTTGGGGAACTCCTCCGCCTTTGTCGCCTAGCTTTCTCTCGGTCACCGCGACACCCTTCGGGGGGACGCCAAGGCGGGGGGGGTACTTATGAAAACGCAAGCCGTTGTCGTCAGAGCATAGACCTCGTGATGCCGGGGACGGAGCGATAGGATAGGTATGGTAGGTTTTCGCCGGCCCAGGCTACCGTATATGACACAAGATAACACAGCCCCTGGACCAATTTTCAAAGCTCGATTATGCGACAACGAAGAGGATGCACAAATGAAACAATACATTTTTGGAAAGCTCTAGACGAGACAGTCTCAACTCCACCGTTTTCCGCGCTGTAACTCGTACTGCTGTCGCGAAATCGAGATTTGAAAACCGGTCCAGGGGGTGTGTTATCTTGTGTCATCTACGGTACGTTTCGCAAGGATGAAGAACCAGAAACTGGTCATCGTCATTGCGGTTTCGAACCAGATGTGCATGGGTTGATTGGACGTTCCGGCTCATCAAACGTTCACATTCGGCGGAGGGGGAGTAAGGTGTGCAAGGCGAGCCGGCGTTGAAACAACAACATAGTTAACCCAACACTTGGAACAAACGCCACACGTACCTTCGTCCCCGCGTCGCCTCCCCCCGCCCAACCTCTTGTTCACATATTGCCCAACAAATCCTAAACTACTTCAAGCCACATGCTCTCAAGACGGAGAGAGATTTTCTGTAGCAATTAATCGTCTGCACATAAAAAATCTTATCGAGGCACGCTGCCCGTGCAGCCACCGGCGCGCGAAAGCGAAACAGTCATGCCCTTACACCGAGACCTCTCGTGTCCGCACCTCAAGGGGAGGGATCTGTACCCGTCGCCTAGGCGGAACCGTGTCCTTCTTCGCCCTCGCCCCCTTCGCCGCCGCTCCCCCCGCCGCCGTCGCCGTAGTAGCCGTATCTGTGTCTGCTGCAGCCGCGGCGGTGGCAGCAGCAGCACCTTCTTGCTGCTCCTCCGTCTTCGGGGGCGGCTTGATGCCCGCGGCGTCCCAGGCACCCTGCAGAACCAGCTCCACCTTCACGGGAGCGGTCGGCAGGCATCCCCGTGGGCCGCCTCCGCCTCCGCCGGTTTCTTTCGCCCAATCGGCGAACGACGATACCTTTGTTGTTTGCGCGGAGGTGTGTGGGGGGGGGGTGTACTCAGTCGTGCATGCCGTAGTCGTTAGACCATTGACCTCGCATCCCTACAAAGCCGGGACGGAGCACGCCGGGTTCTCACCGGACCAGGCTCTCACATCACCAAGCGCGAAGCGCCGTGAGATATTCGGCGAGTCGCATGAAGGGTGCGCTGCATCCTGCTAAGGGTTTTCGGCATCTTGTGCTTACTTCCTTGCCTACGGATGACAGCTGCATATGACTTAATATATTTTCTGGTGCTTTCACTTCCAGAGACAGTTGTAAGCACTGTGTAACTGCCTCGAGGGTGCTTGACCATTTTAACACAACGTGGTGCGATCATCCCCCTTGCGCGGAGTGAGGGTTCTCCACCCCGCACAACATGATCTACTCGACCACCATTATGGTTACCGCCAAAAAAAAAAAAAGGTAAAAAAAAAGGGTA